AAGTTCCCAGGGTGTAACAAAAGCTGCTAAGACCAAAAAAAAAAAAAAAAAAACCCAGTTAGATTTGAGTCCAGTAACATCTTAGAGATTTTCATGGTAAGCGCTCTAGAACCGAAGGTCCTTTCCTCAGACATAAGTTGGAATGGATATTCTTTGCACAGAGACAGACCTGTTTGTCCAATGTAGAGAGCAGAAGGACATTTAATTCTGTTTAGGAATGCACTGCTACTTCTGAGTAAACATGCATCTGACAAGCAAAATTTTATGATATGACCAGTATTGTCTTCCTCCTGCTTAATTCTGGATAATTTTTAAAAATAACTTTTGGTAAAAGTTCATATGGGAGGGTTTCAGTATTGATGAATCTGAATCTGCAAGAAGGTATGATCCCCCCCCCCCCAATATGTTTTAAAATCTAAGGGCACTTTAGAACATTCTTTAATGAAATGCTGCACTCTACTGGCTATTGAAAGAGGCAATTAGATTTTTTAAAAATTACTTTTCCCCATGTATGCAAGTTGTGTTCTATTACATGGAAATATTAAGGCCATATTCACATGGGTGATTTGCCCCGGGGTTGATATTTTTGGGAAGTAGGACTTTTTCCTGTTTAACACAGCATCATGGTGCTTCTGTGCACCACCTGGGTTTCCCTCAACTTTTCTGTGATCTCTCTCAAACCTGCTTTTATTGTGATGTTTGAGAAAGACTGAAGCAAAGCTGAGCTGACTGCCATATATGTGGGATGCAGCTGTTGATGCAACAGTCTATCCACTAGACAGCTCACAGCAACCACCTAGAGTGCAAGTGGGGGGAGGATCACCCCCCCTCTCCTAGCCCTCATGACCAGTACCCCAGCCACCCTCCTGCAGCAGAGGGACAAGGAGGGTGGGTGGCAGCTTATCACCTCCCTGCTGCCCAGGGGGGGTGCAAGGATAGTGCTGGGGAATGAGGAGGGCAGGCAGTGTGGGTGTCCCCTCCCTGAAGGGCACCTAGAGTATTTTAGATGGCCCTGAGCACAGCAGTGGCACTGCTAATTAGCAGGTTTCCTCACATTTTCCTTGCTCAGTCCTCCATACCCATTTTCCTCGCCCCAATACCCATTTTCCCCACCCTTTTCTGAGGTTTTTTTAAAAAAAACTGGTAATGGACATACTGATATACCATGATATCGATATGCCAATAGCTAATTAATTTTTTTAAACTTCAAAAAATAGTTTATTGGGTATAAAAAGATCTTTGGCATTGATGCAGTCAAGGAGGGAGGGAGGGAGAGAGAGAGAGCAGGCACCCGTGTGCTGGACCAACCACCTAATTACTTGGGAACTGTGCAGAGGTAGGTGGTCTTCCAGCACTGTGGTGTCCACTCTCTCTTCACATGTGGTGAGCCAGTGTGCAAACACATCCTGTAAACAGGGCCAGTGATGGGTTCCATGCTTCAGTGTGCTCTCATGAATACCCCCTTTCTCTCATGTAGAAAATGTGTCAGACTTGATTTAAACCTGATGCTGGTGGGTAAAATAATCTTAACCCTGCAATTCAAGTAGATTCTCAGTTACAACTTCAGCACAGTAGAGATATAGGGCTTAGGTGAGCTCTGTGGCTGCAGTTCAAGAAAGTGCAGTTTAAAAAAGATGGTAAGTTCTTCTTGTTCACCAGTGTCATATTTAAATTGGCTCTTAGTCTAGCCTTGTCTGGCATGCTATTTTTCCACATTCAGGGAGTCTTTTTCCAAGGTGTCCTGTCAGATCTGCAACTCTGTACCTGCTATCTGAAATCCTGGAAAAGCATTGGCACAGGAATCTGTTCACATGCACCACACATGCACCTAGTACCTTAAAATGCCAATAGAATTATTGCAGTAGAAGCTTTCATGGGGTGCAGCCCATTTTATCAACAAAAAGTGCATTCTCAGTTGCAGTACATTTATGAAACAACCCTGGTATAGAGAAAACAGTGAGGCTAAAAGGGCATGAAACACAAGAGGTACAGGTTGTAATGTTTTTATTCATAGCTCACCTGTATTCATAGTAAGCACCGTAATTATCTACAACAGCTGTATCTGGCAGAAAGACAAAACCCATGTAGTACATTTTGTTAGGGTCAACCCTAAATATTTTATTAGGACCAACAAAACGTTGCGCAAGCTCTCCAGTTCCAGAGCTCTTAATGAGGGTGGATGTTAAAAGCCTCCCCCCCCACACACACACACTCAGCCCTATTAAACATTCTGGAGAACCTGAAAGAATTAGTTATAATAAAGTATCACATGGCCTTTGCTTTGGACCAAAGTTACTACCTGCATTCTCTTTCCACGATCTCCCCAGTTTGGCTGTGCTAACCGAATTTCTGTCGTGGGAAAGAAACTCCCTATCTAGGTGGGCACAGACGGAGCGGAGCTGGTTCGGAATGCTTAGAGCACCCCCAAGGCCCCCCCCCCCCCCCCGGTCGTCCTGGAGGCAATCGGCTCCGGAAAGGGAGGAGAGACAAGGAGGCCTAGTTCTCCGCTCCCCTGCCGCGTCTTTGCTGCCATCCCTCCAGTGGGCGGGTAAAGGGGAGGGAGAAAACCCCGTCAAAGTTGCAGATTTTGCGGCTGTGAAATCTGACGAGACGGTCCTCAGTGGTTCAGGCTGCGTCCGTATTTTCTTCTCAGCCCCCTGGTAGGTTAAGGTTGCGACCGGAGAAGCGAAGCCCGGCCTACTGTCTCCCGTGCCGCTCTTTATACCTTCTTGTTGAAGGGGTTTTTTCCTTCCTTCGCGGCCACGGAAACGGGGGGCGGGAGGAAAGGGAGTTCGCGGGGCGCCTTTGCAAACATCCTGCCCTTTGAGGGAAAGGGAAATCCATTGAAATGTTTCCACGTTTCGGTGAAGGTAGTACGTAGGTGGCGCTGAGGCAAAGCGAGGCGAGTGTCGTGATAAGGAAAAGGTCCCACTAGCGCTCTCCGGAGCTGGGAGGAGCTGGGCTTGATTTGGGCCCCTGCCTCAAAGACATAAATAAATGAGACCTTGTTGGGCCGGGCCATGTGTGTCATAAAAGGTAATGCCAGGTAGCAGAGAAATAAACTTTATAAAGGACACTGACAAACACAGTTAAAGATTTTGTAAAAAAATTAAATAACACATTTCCAGTGAATTCGACACCCCTGGACTAGACTCTATTTTGCTTAATGCTAATAATGGCATCAGCTATTTCTTCTAGTAAGGTCATAGAGACAATCCTGAGATTCCTGTCTTTACAAATTAACTTGTTGCTCAACACCATTATTCTGAGCCCTCCTGTTCTTTCCCACTGTTAACTTTTTGTTGTTCAGTCGCACAGTCGAGTCCGACTCTTTGCGACCCCATGGACCAGATCACGCCAGGCCTTTCCTGTCTTAGAGTGTTGGGCTGGGAAACTGGCTTCAGATCCCTGCTTGGGCCTAAACTGGAATGTTGTTTCCTGAGTTTGCGTATATTTGCATGAAATTTACTGAGAGATGTTCGAAAAAAATAAAAAGTTCAGTAACATCTTTGTAGCCTGACAATGGAGCTTTGAAAGAAAAACGGAGGCTTGTGAGAATAGAGTAGTTGCCCAACGGAACATCTAGCTGTTATATAAGTTTAAGTTTAAAGGTAAAAATCACAGCAAAATTATTTATCTTCCAGCTAGCAGACCACAGATTTTGGGGGAGATTGTTTTATTGACCCTTTCAGCATATTCTAACCCCTACGAGGTTGCCGTAAATTGGCTGCAACTTGATGGTAAAAAAGGTGCAATGATACAGTTGCGATTGCATCCTGAACATATATATGTTCCATTCTCTAAAAACAGTGAAAGTATTTGTTAACTGAAACATTGGCAAGAGCCAAAGAGATGGCAGTAGCTAGGAATCAGAGTGAAAGCCACGTTGGTGGAATCCAGACACAACATGTTAAAAATGTGTAGTTTGAGCTTCTGCCATGAAGTTCCCAGGGTGACCTTGGGTCAATCGCTATCAGTTTAACTTGTCTCACTGGGTTGTTGTGAGGATAAAAATGTAGGGGAAACAGTACATATGCAGCCCAGAGCTCTTGGTAGGAATTACCGGGTCTGTGTTATATATATATTAAAAAAAATTACATTAGTTATAAACAGGGCCTTTTTTGTAGAAAAAGCCCAGCAGGAACTCATTAGCATATTAGGCCACACCCATGCCAACACATCTCATTAGCATATTAGGCCACACCCCATGTTACCAGAGGTGTGGTCATCCAGCCACACCCACCTTTTGCTTCTTATTCTGTTTACCTTGTTTGTTGTCAAAACCCAGGGCTTTTTTTGGAGCAGGAACTCCTTTGCGTGTTAGGCCACACACCCCTAATGTAGCCGATCCTAATGAATTCCTGCCACTGGGTGTGGCCTATTATGCTAATGAGTTCCTGCTGGGCGTGGCCGACTTGGGAGCCAGCTGGAACTCCGTTCCTGTGCGTTCCTGCCCCAAAATAGCCCTGGTTATAAACCATCTTTCTCACTGAGACTCAAGGCAGGATTACAAATGTACGTCAATACGATCAACAAGATGGGGCATTCAATAAACAATGCAATATGGTTTGGATTGCAGAAATCTGAAAACAGGCAGAAATCTGAAACAGATCTGAAACCAAGTTGAAACAATGTGTAAACATTTAAACATGACATGTTAAGTGATACAGAAATTACATAATAGGAGCATACTTTGAGCAACAGACAGCAGGTATACATAGTAGTATAGACTACAATCCCTGTCTCTTTACCAAAACATCTTTCTGAATCATTCCATTACAGTACAGCCCTGTTACCTATGTAAAAGAAGCCCTCCAGAATAATTCAGTTTTCTCTTGCAGAAAGTCAAGAGAGTGGGAGTCTTCCTAACCGAATCAGGCAGGCCATTCCATAAGATGGGAGCTACAACAAGGAATGCACGTGGATGGGAAGTTTTTCATTTTGCCCATTTGCAGGGTGGTACCTGCAGAGATGAATGAAGCTGTTGTGGTACAGCATAGGGAGAGAGGTGGTCCTGTAAATATGAAGGACCATGACCATGGAGGACTTTGTGTGCAGTATCCATTATCTTGAATTGAGCTTGTTAACTGATGGCAGCCATTGAATTGACTGCCAATGGTAGTAATATGCATGCTCCTCATAGCTTCTGATAATAATTGAGCTGCAAAATTCTGCAATAACGAGTCTCCAAGTTGACTTTGAGGGGAGACATATGTAGAGTGCATTACAGTAGTCTAGTCTCAATGTTACTGTTGCATGGATCCAAGTGGCCAGATCAGCCGTGTAAAGGTAAAGGCCATCTTGTGAGCTAGACTGAATTGGAAGAAACCATTTTTTGCAGCTGCATGAACCTGCTTTCCCAGCAGCAATGTTGGATCCTGTATAACTCCTAGGTTCTTAACCTAGTTAGTAAGG